CCCCCCCCCCCCCCCCATTTAGTCATTTCATTACAAACGACTAATACAATTGGAAAATTTTAACATATAAAAAAATTCTCTCTCTCGTGCTACATAATTCAGCCACCTGCTTCATTTTCCTTTTTTACCACTTTTTATTTTTAATTGACCCTAAACATATATGTAGATATGAATACTGAACATGCATTTAGTTTAATTTCTTTGTTGCAAGAATTTCTCCAAATACATAGAAGAAAATTCAAACGGTGTGAAATGCTTAAACTAACTTTCTTTATAGAGCCACAGATTAATTGATACTTTTCCTAATCTATATTAATGATCAATAAACAAAAATATAGCATTTGTACATCAAAAAATCTATTCATTTTTCTTTTCTTTCTTAGTGATCATATCTTATCAATCACTTATAATAACTGATTAAATAATTGCTTTTCATTACGTCTCTGAAAATGAAGCGAGAATGTATACTATTAACCATGATCAAGTCATTAAAGTCAATATACATAATACATATCATGCATCTATTGATTTAGTGTAAACGATAAGTTTTTATCTTTCATGTCGACCGATGTGGGTCTCTTTCGTTGAAATCGATGGAACACGCATTAATTATTAAAGTTAAAAAAAAAAAGGAACATTTTTTATGCAATTGCAAAGTCTAACTTACGTTGATAAGTTGAAAGAAGCCTAAGCAAGACAATTTTTAAATTTAAAAAACAAAACAAAAAAGGAGATTCCAATTTGGATAAAATAGAATGACATATTAAGTAACACTGCAATTTCAACGAAGATTCTAATATGTATTTATACTAAATAAAATAACATATTAAGTAGCTTTGCGTTCATATTCTTTCTAATTTGGAAAACAATTACTAATGAAATGATCAATAAACAGTTGGAAATGAGTGTGTCAGGCATTGAATGATATCTATATTTGTCTGTATTGGTAATAAATTTTTCATTGCTGTAAAAGATTACAAAGGCAATCAACAGAGAAACATATAAGGAAAAACTTTAAAGAAAATATTTTCTTAAATGCATTTTCTACAACAGTAAACCGAAGGCAATATAAAAAAGATAAGCATAATTAGAGAACTGAAGAATCACCTTTCAAGTTCTCATCACACAGCAATATGGTACTCCATTTTTACTTACTTTTTAGATGATTTTATATCACAGTTTAATTCCTTCATAATATGCAAAATAACTTATACTAGTAGTATCTGTTAGTATAAATATATTTTTTGTACTGTATAATTCAATTATGAAAAGAATTAAAGGGGCTAAAATTTAAATGACAGGCTGATGAAAGATCTGCAGAACAGAAGAAAATAGACGAATGGCTTCCCATTACTTCGTCTAGGAATGCAAAATGGTGGTACTCAACATTTCACAATGTTACCGCTATGGTTGGAGCTGGTGTTCTCAGTCTCCCTTATGCTATGTCGGAACTCGGGTGGTACGTACCTTTTTTTTTAATTATATTTTTTAAAACAGTCAGAGGCAGATTCAAGATTTAAAATTTTCGAAATTTCATATTTTTTGAAATTTTAGTGATTATTATACCTATACCGTCACAGTCTTGGCTTCAAATGAACCCATTGTTAACATGTTAGTATGCTACATTCGCCCCCGTTAACAGCCTTGATGTATTCAATTTTCACATTTTTTTAGGTTTTAATGATTATTATACCTATATCGTGACAGTCTTGGGTTCAATTGAACTCATTATTAACATTCCAGTACGCTACATTCGCCCCGTTTAACGACTTGATCATAATGTTATTACTGGATGAGATTAGCCATAGAAGCAACCACCAGATGGGGTAAATTAAATTGTTCGAACGTAGTAATAATTTTCATTTCTGTGTTAGTGATAGTGTGTCAATGTAACATAACCGATAATTGCAGGTTATTGCTCTATTTTTAGATGGCCTAAACGTTCTTTACACTGTCAGTGCACAGAACAGAACGTAAACTCAATTATATAGCTCGCTAGTCCGTGCGAGTTTTTTTCCACTAGTATTACTTAATGAGTTTGGGTGCAATTTCAGGGGACCTGGTGTAACAGTACTGGTGTTATCTTGGATTATCACTTTATACACACTATGGCAAATGGTTGAAATGCACGAAATGGTTCCAGGGAAACGTTTCGATAGATATCATGAATTAGGGCAACATGCTTTTGGAGAAAAGCTCGGGTTATGGATCGTAGTTCCTCAGCAAGTAGTCGTTGAAGTTGGCGTCGACATTGTTTATATGGTGACTGGAGGAAAATCTCTCAAGAAAATCCATGATTTATTGTGCAAAGAAAATTGCACAAATTTGAAACTTAGTCACTTTATCATGATCTTTGCCTCTGTCCATTTTTGTCTCGTCCATCTTCCAAACTTCAACTCAATATCTAGCATTTCTTTGGCAGCAGCTGTTATGTCCTTAAGGTATATATACACAAAACTATTATCTGTCGCTTACTGTTTATTTCAAGGTTGTTGTCCTAACTTTTATTGTATACGTGACGATGAAGTTACTCCACTATTGGTTGGGTGGCTTCAATCAAGAAAGGCGTGCAACCGGATGTGGACTATGGCTACAATGCTAAAACCAATAAGGGAGCTGTTTTCAACTTTTTCAGCGCGTTGGGTGATGTGGCTTTTGCTTACGCCGGTCACAATGTGGTGTTAGAAATTCAAGCTACAATCCCTTCAACGCCGGAGAAGCCGTCCAAAGGACCTATGTGGCGGGGCGTTGTTGTTGCTTACATTGTAGTTGCTGTGTGTTATTTTCCTGTTGCACTTATTGGATATTGGGTGTTTGGGAATTCTGTAGAAGACAACATTCTCATCTCTTTGGAAAAACCTACTTGGCTCATTGTTACTGCTAACTTTTTCGTCGTTGTCCATGTTATTGGGAGTTATCAGGTACTGAAAAATAACCGATCTTATTAACTTTATTACTATAATTTAGATCCTAACAATGTACTAACGAAACGTTGTTGATGTTGTGATGTTGTAGATCTATGCTATGCCAGTGTTTGACATGATTGAGACTGTGCTTGTTAAGAAACTTAAGTTCAAGCCAACTTGGTACTTGAGATTTATTACCAGAAACCTTTACGTTGGTAAGAAATTCAAGCTTGTTTTCATCTTTAGTGTTGCTTTTTAGTTCAAGAATTGTGTGATTTTCTTCAGTTCAATTGCAGCTTTCACAATGTTCGTTGGAATCGCGATCCCTTTCTTTGGTGGGCTTCTTGGATTCTTTGGAGGATTTGCATTTGCCCCAACAACATACTTTGTAAGAGATTTTCCTGTCCTTATTTTTCGGTCGAAATTCAAAAATAGCCAGATTTATAAGTGGTAATTGAAAAATAGTCATAATTTCAAAAGTAATCGAATTTTAGACACTCTTCATGTAAAGATAAATTTGAACGAAAACACTGTTCAAAATCCGAAAAATATTCCAGCATAATATACTGGAGTTCGAATTTTTTACATGTGGACGTCCAACATAATATACCGGAGTTCCAGCATAATATACTGGAGTTCGAATTTTTTACATGTGGACGTCCAACATAATATACCGGAGTTCCAGCATAATATGCTGGAAGCTCATATACAGGTGCTCCAATCTCCAGTATATTATGCTAGAACTTTCCGTGTGCTGAAGTTCCAGCATAATATGTTGGAAGTTCATACATATGTGCACCAATTTCCTGTATATTATGCTGGAACTTTTCGTGTGCTAAAGTTCCAGCATAATATGTTGAAAGTTCATACATATGTGCACCAATTTCCAGTATATTATGCTGGAACTTTCCGTGTTGCAGCAAAATAGTGGCTATTTTTCAATGACATTACAAACGCTGACTATTTTTCAATTACCTGTCCGAACACTGGCTAGCCCGTGCTATTTTCACTTAATTTTATGGCTTTAAACTTTGTAGTGCAGATTTTTGACTCTGTTTCCTTGTTCAGCTTCCCTGCATAATGTGGCTTGCAATATATAAACCAAAGAGATTCAGTTTATCTTGGATTATTAACTGGGTATGTTACAAATTAATCTATTATTCACATTTTAAAGTTTTCTGATTCTGCCTTTTATATATACAATGACAACTAAAATGATCCTATTAATGACAGATTTGCATAATACTGGGAGTTCTGTTGATGGTTATAGCACCAATCGGCGCCTTAAGATCCATCATCTTATCAGCCAAGAACCTCAAATTTTTCTCTTAGACGATTAATTAAGGAAAAATCTTTGATTAAGTTTCTTAAACTGCTGGAGTGTGTTTTATTATAAAGGACTTCCTAGCAAGGTTGTTTTGGTTCAGAACTTTTTACAATATAAGACTTCTGCAGATTTTTATATGTTATATTATGATTTATGAGCAACATTGGCTCGCAGTTGAAAATCCTTTTTATTTTGTGAATTTTGCACTTGAAACGTACCAATTGTTTCCTGTTCAATAATAATACAAAAGCAATATAAAAAATTCTTTCATCTGCCATGTTTAACACCTCTTCTGGCAAGACAAAATAAAGTTGTTCAGCCTGCAGCCTCCCTATAACAGCTTTGTTTGTTACGAATATTTTTAGATGTTGTAGCGAAGTGTTATTATAGAGAACATATATTATAACATAACATAAAAATTGGTTCCGGAAAGCTTGATTTTTATAGCAAGGTATTGTTATATAGGGGTCTGACTGTATTTAACATTATACTAACAACCTAAAATCTCTTGTACAATATCCTTAGCTAGTTTTGGACATAGATTTGAGTGAAACTTGAAGAAAAAAAAAGAGTTTTTGAAGTTGTGTTGAAAAATAATTTTTGAAAGTTGAAGTTGTGTTTGGATATACATTTTATTTGAAGAAAAGTTGAAGTTTTGTAAGTGGAAGAAAAAATTTCAGCCAAAAACCTTTCCTCCAACCCCAAATATGATAATATTTCACAAACAAAAAACTTCCTGAAAAGATAAAGCCAAAATCTATGGTCAAACGGGAGCTTAGAAATTCTTATTATCTAGAGGCAAATGTAGCCTTGTCGTATCAGGTTTATCTGACCTAGTACTTTCTAAATGGAACATAAACTTATATGTAAAAATCTACTAAATTTGCAACAAATAAAAAATATAAATTCATAATTTTAAATATATGAGTTCAATATTAAAAACCTTAAAAATTAAAATCATCAAATTTCACGAGATTTAAATATGATACAACATATAGAATCAGATATAAGTAGCACTGCAATTTCAATTTTTCCTCATTTGGAATCTATCAATTTTAATATAACTTAATGAGACAGTGTGTCTCTGTGATTAATCCATTGCTATAAAAGACTACAAAAATTATTAAAAATGGAAAATGTCAAAGTTGTATCTAACTCCTCTCTATTTACATTCTTTTTGGATGTGACATGCTTCTATTTATTCATTTAAATTTAAAAGGTTCAGGATAAGTTAACCTAACAAACATTCTAATAATGGGGAATTAGTATCTCATTTCCTCAAAAGGTTGCCAGACATTAGCACCTACCTTCTTTTCATCATTTATTTTACTTTTGGACGGTAAGCAACCTCCACTTCCAACCGAGAGGTTGTGAGTTCGAGTCTCCCCAAGAGCAAGGTGGGNTCTGATGGTAAGCAACCCCCACTTCCAACCGAGAGGTTGTGAGTTCGAGTCTCCCCAAGAGCAAGGTGGGAAGTTCTTGGAGGGAAGGATGCCGGGGGTCTATTTGGAAACAGTCTCTCTACCCTAGGGTAGGAGTAAGGTCTGCGTACACACTACCCTCCCCAGACCCCACTAAGTGGGATTATACTGAGTTGTTGTTGGACTTATCCAATGTAATTGAATTTCTGTTGCTCTTTTTTTAGTTATGTTTTTTTATCATAACTACGTGGACCAAAACTTGTTAATAGACAATATATTGAATATAGACTTTCTTTCTTTCCTTTTTAATACTAATATTTTGCTTATAACAGCGTAGTAAAGTCCACCGACCAATTTGCATTAATTTACCTATATGTTCAATATTCGAACTCCGTTGCTCTTAAATCTAATATGAACACATGCAATTCTTTACGTGTCTATATTTTTATAGTATTCTTAATTTCTTATTTGCCAGATTCAATGTTTCATTCATTAATAATAACTTCTTCTCAAACTTGTTTTATCAAATTGAATTTGTTATGGCCAAACCAGTGTGGAGCCACCTTTATCCAAACCCTCAGTAATTCGCCGAAAAATTATACTATATAGTTAAATAAAAAAATTATGTATAGGTATATACTATATGTTAAATTCTTTAAGTTTTTTCATGTGTTTACTTCTTTATAATTTAACTCTCAATAATTGTAGCTCCGCCACGGGCCAAACTAACCCTTTAACATCATTTATTCATTTAGATGATAGTTAATTTGCTACTCTTAGTTCTTAAGAATCTTAAAAGCAATATAGGCTCTCTTTCGTATTTTATTTATTGCAATCTTTACACAAATAGTCGATCATATTTACTATTTATTTTTTCTAACTATATACATAGATTATACACTAATTATACATAATTATACACATGTAATACATAAGTTATGCTATAAAGTTCAATAGCATTAGAACGTAGGATAAGAGAAGAAAAAAAAAACAGGTATATTATCTCCGAGAAATGAGCTCTAATATTGTTTCTTTTTGGGGAATTTCGAGTATTGGAATAACTGTGTATGTAAAATATACATTCCTTATCTTTAGTTAATCTTAATCTAAACCTATGGAATTTAAATAGGGCACGTGTGGCATAGAGGAAATGAAGAGTATGTTTAACGGAGGGGAGTCACATTCGGACTTTTTCAAAAGAAATTTTTTTTTTTTCAATAAAATTTCTATAACTGTACGTAGACATTATTTGTTGAGAGATTAACCTGTGTTATGGTTACAATTTGGGAATTCATAATCACAACTGGTTCAAATCTGGCTTCATTCTTCATACCTTCCATCAAATAACTGTAAATCTTATTCATTTTTCAAGCCCTTTTAACACAACAATATGGTAGCCTCTCCAGACAACAATGCGGTATATATTCTTCACTTAATTTCAGATAATTTTTTATATTTCAAACGTTTTAGCTTTCAAACTTATGCATGTCTCTGTAATTTTTAGGGAAATAGTGATTTAAAACAATTATCACTATGCCCGTCCAGGGCAGGTGTAAGGATGCGTACACCTCACCCTTCCCAGACCCCACTCTATGTTGTTGTTGTTGTTGTTGTAATACATGTATATCTTGTAATTTACATGAAAAAATGAATGAGATATATGATTCGTGGCATTTTCTTTGGAGATTACAGCTAATCAAAGAAACAATTTTTAGAAAATAATTATTATGATTATTGTTTATGCAAATAGCAGTTGTAAGGGATGGCAACTATTAATGCCAATTGATCTTATGATACATTTTTGTGCATGGATTGAGAGTTTGGATAGATACTGTATTGTGTGAATCGTTATCAACATAATGTTTCAATTCCTTATTTAATGGGACTATAATCAAATGAAAGGCTGATGGAAGAACTGAAGAACAAAAGGCGATAGACGAATGGCTTCCCATTACTTCTTCTAGGAATGCAAAATGGTGGTATTCTGCATTCCATAATGTTACTGCTATGGTTGGAGCTGGTGTCCTCGGTCTTCCTTATGCCATGTCTGAGCTTGGATGGTACGTATATTTATCTATATCTTAGAGTATTCAACAATACTAACTTTTCATATACTTTAATTTCTATCTTATAATACGTTATTGAAATGAGTTTGGACGTAATCTCAGGGGACCTGGTGTAACAGTGATGGTGGTATCATGGGTTATAACATTATACACACTATGGCAAATGGTTGAGATGCACGAAATGGTTCCAGGGAAACGTTTCGATAGATATCATGAATTGGGGCAACATGTTTTTGGTAACAAGCTCGGCTTATGGATCGTGGTGCCTCAGCAATTGGTTGTTGAAGTTGGCCTTGACATTGTTTATATGGTGACTGGAGGAAAATCATTCCAGAAAATCCATGATTTAGTCTGTAAAGACAATTGCAAAGATATCAAACTGACTTACTATATCATGATATTTGCTTCTGTCCATTTTGTGCTTTCTCATCTTCCTAACTTCAATGCCATATCTGGTGTGTCTTTGGTAGCAGCTATCATGTCCTTAAGGTATAAAAATTACTTCCTTTAGCTTATTGTTCTTGATCCATTAATATTTAGGACATCGCGTTCCAAACTTTCTGACTTATGTATATTCGATTAGAAAGGTCACATTTTTATTTACTTATGTATGTCTTCAATGCGCCCCGCACATTCTTTTTCATATGTCAAACACCTGGAAATTCTTTTATAATGGGGCGATGGCAGGGGCGACTCAGTATAGGGTTGAACTGAACCTAGTATTTTTAGTGCGAAGTATAAATTTATGTGTAAAAATATATTAAATTTATAAAAAATAGTAAGTATGAACCTATAACTTTAAATATATAATTGAGTTTATATCAAGAACCTTAAAGATTGAACCAATAGAATTTATATCTTGGATCCGCCTCTGGGCGATGGTGAGACTCGAACTGACGATCTCTTCCTACTCTTGTAGTACCATATTGGAGTATGTGACTATCTCATCCTAGTGTTGTCAAAGGCGCGCTTAAGCCCTGAAGCGAGGCTCCAAACACGTTGAGCGCTTCGCCTCGCTTTGTGGGCGCTTCACTGTCGCATCAAAGCTCAAAGGCATACTTTTCCTTGCCAATGAGTGTAATCTTGAAAAGGCGACCTTAAACAATTGATATTTCATTTTATCGTAATTTTTTTTTCAATTTCTTTGTCTATATATTTGTTATTCATGCTTATAATGATTTGTCTTGGACTACATGCATATTTTTAAGTTTTCTCCCGCTGTGCCTTTTTTCATTAAAGCACATACTTTATTTGCACATTGCGCTTAAAGCCCCAACGGACCTTAGAGCTTTTTTGCGCTTTTCGCCTTTGATAACACTCATCTTATCTAATAGTTTAAGCTGTTAGAAAGAGAACAATTTTATTTACTTAATGATGTGTTCAACAGTTACTGTACAATTGCTTGGGGGGCTTCAATTGATAAGGGAGTGCAACCAGATGTGGAATATGAATACAGGGCTGAAAACACAGGGGAAGGTATTTTCAACTTTTTCAGTGGATTGGGAGAAGTGGCATTTGCATATGCAGGTCATAATGTTGTGTTAGAAATTCAAGCTACAATCCCTTCAACACCTGAGAAACCTTCTAAAGGACCAATGTGGAAAGGAGTTCTTGTTGCTTACATTATTGTGGCTCTTTGTTACTTCCCTGTTGCTATTATTGGCTATTGGATCTTTGGGAATTCAGTATCAGACAACATTCTTATCTCTTTGGAGAAACCTACTTGGCTCATTGTCTTGGCTAATGCCTTTGTTGTTATCCACATTATTGGGAGCTATCAGGTATGACTCGAAATCTATGTTGCTCAGGCTCTCCAAAAATGATGTCACACCCGTGTCGGCAGTGGCGGAGCCAGGATTTCCGACGAAGGGATGTCGGTTGACACCCTTTGGGTGCATGTGACTCCGCAACTGCGTGTTACATCCTCCAAAAATGTTCTACTTTTGAAGGATCCAGCACGTATCTAGCGACATTTGTGATGAGTCTGAGCAACATAGCATGAAACATTCTTGTTGATTGGAGCAGTTTAGTTTTATGGTAGTGTAACATTTTTATCTAATGAAATGTGCTTGATTTTGTGCTATTGTAGTTGTATGCAATTCCGGTGTTTGACATGCTTGAGACTTACCTTGTAAAGAAACTTAAGTTCAAGCCAACTTGGTACTTGAGATTCATGACCAGAAACCTTTATGTGGGTAAGTAACTTGCCTTTATTTGAAGCAGAAACTTTTGTTGGTATAGTGGTGTTGCTTTCTGTTCGAGTAAATTGTAATGCCTTTGCTTTTATTGCAGCTTTCACAATGTTTGTTGGAATCATCTTCCCTTTCTTTGGGGGACTTCTTGGTTTCTTTGGAGGATTTGCTTTTGCCCCAACAACCTATTTTGTAAGTTCCCTTGTCTATTCTTGGTTTGTAGACGTTGTAGTGCCGATAGAGGCAGAGCTAGGTAGACGTAAGGGGTTCCTTTTCGATAACTATATTGCGCAAATAGGAGGAAATGAACCTTCTACTTATATATCTACTGTTAGATCTCCTTGACATAAAAGGGAAGCGCGGTGCACTAAGTTCCCGCTATGCGCGTGGTCCGGAGAAGGACCGGACCACAAGGTTCTATTGTACGCAAACTTATTATGCATTTCTGCAAGAGGCTGTTTCCACAGTTTTAACCCGTCACTTACTGATCACATGGTAGCAATTTTACCAGTTACGACAAGGCTCCTCTTCTTAAATCTCCTTGACATGAGAGAAGATTCTAGTATAGTGGTAAAGGAGGTTCAAAAATAAGTTCAGGGTCAGGTATAAATTCTAGATGCGACATTCTTGTATTTATTGAATTCCCTTGATTGAATTTCTGGCTCCGTCACTAAGCGTCGACATGAGAAAATGACAGCCAGCACTAACACAATGTACTTTTTACTCTTCTTTCAGCTCCCTTGCATCATGTGGCTTTCAATCTACAAACCAAAGAGATGGGGTCTCTCTTGGACTAGTAACTGGGTATGGTTCAACTTCTTATGCTTTTTTGATATTGTCATTTTATCTGATTCTGTTTTTATAAGCTATAAACCAAAACTAATTGGACAAATTATTACAGATTTGCATAATAGTGGGAGTAATGTTGACTGTTTTAGCACCAATTGGTGGCTTAAGAACCATCATTATACAAGCCAAGGATTACAATTTTTTCTCTTAGGCATCTCTCGTCTGGCACACAGCTTCGGAGAAAAGGGTGATTTCAAATTGGAGGTCTCATTTATGTTTCTAATTAAATAGATGTGTGTTAAATCACAAAGATACTTGGTCTGTGTTTTGGGCTTGTAATACATTTTCGTATTGCTTCTTGTGTAATGTAACTATAATTAATGCTATATTACTGTCAGGAGTTTTGTCAAAGTGGCATTTAGCACTTTGTTTTCTCTCTCTAATCAAAGATGCAAACGCATTCAACACTTTGTGATTTAATTCTATCTTTCTAATCAAACATGAAATAGATGCATAAGCGTTCAACGGTTCAAGACTTCGGAATATTCATTGCTTATAGTAATGTTTATTCCAAGTCTTTTAAGCCTAAGAATTGGTACTTATTAGGCTGTTATAGCCTCGTTCAAAGAACAGACTGAACAGGGATTTTCGCTAAGAAGAGTCAAAATATAAAAAAGTAAATATATATACAATTGATTTTCCTTCAACATATTGTATCCTCCTCGTAAAGTTCTCCTTCATGAGATCTGGACATGATTTGGTTGAAATTTGGAAAAAACGTATTTGAAGTTAGAATTTGGAAAAGAGTCCTATCTAGGCCGTGGCCAAACTGAAATTTTCTCATATCAAAAGATGAACAAGATCTTGACCTTAAAATGGTTTACAGCCTATAATCACCCATAAAAAAACATGAAGAAAACATCCCTTGCCCTTTTCTCCAACCACTCCAGCGATAATTCCAACGACAAAACTGTATTAACCTTTTGGCGACTTTATTCAGTTCTAATTTTTACATAATCTATTTTGGGTCCTCTCCTGTCAAATTTTGCAGTCTCCTCGAAAATTGAATCATCATAACTAAAATCATGGATAAAAAGATTTAAAATATAAATATAAATGCGAAGCTGAAAGATCAGAAAAGGCAACTGCAGAACACTTCCACACAATTCTTTTCCACATCCAATAACAAACTGAATGTTAAGTCAATGTTTTCCATTTTTTTCTTATATGTTATTTTTTTTCTTTTTTCTTTTTTTCTTTTCTGTTTTCTTCTCTTTTTCGGCTTTCAATATGGAATAGGATTTATGTCATTAACCTATTAGTGATCTCTAAAACACTATGATACAGCTACAGCGACAGAGGGCAGCTTAATCAATTTCACCTTCCTCAGGCTCAACATCCTTAGGATCACTTGGGAGAGTAGCGGGCTCACATTCTTCCTCATCATCATCCATCTTCATGTACAACCCAAGTTGCTCCAGAGCATTACTGCCTCCAAATTTGAAGCCACCTAGCCCATCCTGGGAATGATCTGGACTGGTCTCATCTACCGAGCTAGGTAATTGCTCGGGTGGGACAGCAGTCAGCATCTCCAAATCCTCAAGAAACTTTGAATTCTCATTAATCTCTACAGTCTTTTCCATCTGCACGAAGCAATGGAAGTTTCATGTGATTCATTAGCTGAAGTGCGTCCAACGTTAAGCACGAGACCTTCTACAACATGTTCTACTCACCTGGAGTAATGCCTGTCTTGCTGCTTCTCTATCGAGCTCTCTCCTCCTCTTAGCCTCAGCTGCAGCTTCTGCTTCTGCACGTCTTTGAGCTTCTTCAGCAGCTTTGGCTTCTGCTTGCAACTTAGCTTTCTCTGATCATGGAAATTAACTTTATAAGGCTACCAATTCACATGCAAAGAATTTCCTCCATCTTTTTAGATATCGGGATTGTGAGAGGGCTACCTTTCCTCCTCCGCATCTCAAGTTCCTCCCTTTCACGACGAAGTTTCTCTGGATCGCCCTTCTCGACCTTTATAGCAAATTACAGGATGGAATGACAAGCTGGTCAAAATATTAAGGCAAAAGCAGTAGCAAGTCCTATAACAAGCAGATATACTCACCTCAACAAGTGTCTTCTCTCGAGCTTTTAAAATTGTATCTGCAAATCTGTTCTTCAGGAGAGCAGCTCTATAGAGCTTTTCAGGGGAGACCCTCCTGTCTGGCACACTCTCCCCTAAAATGTTAATAGCACAATGGATGAACCCACAAAACAAAAAAGGCAAAGGAATTAGACCAACTTTTGACTTCTCAAACTCNCACTTCCTAAATATCAGATAAGTGCTCAGTTTCAAATACAGGATTAACCAACAAAAACTATTAGCCGCCAGCACCTTGTAGGTATTCTGCAGATGTATCCACTTACTAGATTTCAGTTTCAACTACTGGATAACCATCAACAAGATCCTCTGCTATATAAAACAGAAAAGAACTACTTATCCAAAAAATAAAAAATCAGAAAGAAGCTCACGATCTCCATCAGCTAAACTACTGCCAGCTTCCTTCCCATCTACCTTTGCTGGCGAACTGTGATTCTGTGGCCAAACACCAGAGCAAAAAGTCGTATTAGGTTTCCAATTACTCTAAAAGCAGGTCCGATGACAATAATCATCATGAGGGTTCAAGTAGAAACTACAATGAGCTCTCTTCACCTGCTCAGCATGATCAGATGTTCTTTGAGCTTCAGACTCATCATCAGAAGAGCTACTAGAATCTGAATCTGGATGGAAGGGAGATGCAGGAACTAGAGTTAAGAAAGCATTGGGAATTCTTACAACGAAAGCTTTTCCTACTAAATCAGCAGATACAAGTTGCTTTTATATGGAGAAATAACGCTAAAGTACACTTCTATGGATGAACATGAATTTGTAACACCAATTAAGTATTTAAGTTTCTTTTCCAGCAAATATGGAGGTCTGCAGAAGCCGAACATGCGCGCAAATGATGCTGGAATGAATTTTCATTTTTTCCAAAAAAGTTGCATTGTCAAAGAAGCTTGAATATGAATGAAATAAAAGAAGAATAAACTCTATTCAAGCGACACAAGCAAACAATGATCAAGTCTTGATAAAAAAGAACCATTGGGCAAGAGAAGTACAAAACAAAATAGTAGCATAGCACAAACTTCAAAAAAGAAATAACTAAAGCTTACAACATAGAGGAACATAAAATTAAGGTAACTTCAAACTCAAACGTAAAGAAAATTCTATGAGTTTCTTGAATGAAGTAAATGTGGGGCCACAAGCACCCCATTTTTTTAGCAATTATGCAACATTACCAGCCAGGATCATCACTTATATGGCAAAACACTTGACTGGAAATTGATGAGTATCCAAAAGAGGGATAAAACAGCAAGTAATCAGTGTTTTGATTGACTATCATGGAGAGGAGTACTTGAGAAGGTTATGATATGACTATGACAAGCTTGACTTAAAAGATTTCTCCAAAAGTATTAACAATACAGCAACTTATGAGAATCCTCACTATGTAGTGCAGTGAAGAACCTGTAAAGAGGATATAAGATCAAACAATAGAAAATCTAATACTCCTATAAAACATTTTAAGTTATTAAAAATAACATTCGGAATATAAAGTATTCATCAAGCAAAAACAATTCAGAGTGTTAAAGATTTCCAGGTAATAAAAATTTAAGGAAAAAAGAAAAAGCACATCCCACAAGATGGTAAAACTAGTCTTATGACTAAAAGGCTTTTAATTTCATCTTGCTGGCCCTAGAAGATAAGACGGGGAAGATTTGAGATGATTGAACATGTAGGATGCACTATAAGAACGAACCAGCACAAATAAGATGAAGAGTATAGATGACTAATCAGAATTACCATTGGGACCCCCTGTATTTATACATTCATCTCTTTTCAGATCTGTATCTTTTTCAATGTCAACTGAAGGATAACTAGAGACAGGAGGCTCATTTCCACCAATATCAACCTCCTCATCAACATGGTCATTACCTGTACATTTCCAGTACTTAGAAGGAAAATCTTTGAAGTTTGAAATCTAACACCAAACCATATACAGCGTGGATGAAATCAAACAGAAAGAGTAAGAACCTCCGTCTACGTGCATGGATGAATTACTAAGCCCCAATTCATTTGGCAGCTGAAAAAACAAATAAGAGGGCACAATAATTCATTAACATCAACCACCCGGGGACAGCCTAATTCTACTTTGTATTTGAAGATGTATTCTTTGATTCTAAACTACCTCTATCTCACAAGGTTCAGCTTTTGCATTGCCTTTTTGTTTCTCTTGCAAAAACTTATCTAGAAGCTCCCGTAACGTGAACAAAGTATCATGGGGAAGAACATCAATGTCAATCTCAATCTCATCATCTCCAGCTGCTGTTCCATTTGAACTTTGTTCCTTCAAAAACTCAATGATGTTGTCTGGTAGATCACCAAGTGAAGCTTCTAGTTCACTGCTTAGTTTATGTTTCTCTTCATCAGTCATCTTGCATTTAGGAGGTTCTGGCATAATTACATGCTGCATTGGAGAAAGTCTCCTCTTCTTTGAAGCAGTTTCATTTTCTTCATGTAAACCGGATTTTTCTTCCACTGATCCAGCATGGTTAACAGGTAGCTTTTTCTCAATTGTTTTCCATCTTAGTTCAAAAAACTTGCTCATTGTATCAGCCATGATATGGACAATATTACCAGGGGGGTTATAGATCATTGCATTGGAGAATGTCAGTCTCACATCAGCAAGAAATTCCAGTGGACTCAAGTACGCACCTGAAGTAAGCCTCTTCTTTATTGTCCCCAAATCCATTGGATGTTTAATCACAGTGAAATAGTCGGGTATTTTTAACTTAACTATGTCAACAGGTTCATTAAACACGGGACCATGCTGATGCGACATTAACTTTTTCAACAAGTTCTCACACTGTTTCATCAATGTTGCTTTTGAAGTGGCTGGTGCTGAAGCAGATTTAAACCTGCCAGATGTCTCCCTGTTCAGGGCCGACGCCTTCTGACCAAGAAGGTTTGACTTTTTCGCGGGCCCAGTTCCTGCAGATTTCTTCTTGCTTGCTAAAGGAGGCCCTTTGTGTGCATTGCTACAGCTAACAATATCACTAGAAGATGAAACTGCAACTGCACTTGTCCTATAAAACTCAACTTTCTTCTGCAGAATTCTTATTTGGTCAAGATCAGATCTCAACTGCAGAACCAAGTTTTTCCTCTCAGATGCTGACAGCTTGGATAACGGNGATAACGAGATAACTTGGATTGGCACAGCAAAACCATCATGTGAAGAAGAATTTGTATTTATCCATCTCTGCTGAGGAGCAAAAGAATGTCCTGAAACAGCAATTCCAGCATCGAATCTACATGAACTGCCAGAGCCTTCTGATTCGTAATTAGTGGCAAATGCAACAGAACCACCTCCACGCAACTTATCTTTCTTTGCCATTCAGACTGTAGAAAGAAGATTTTCCCCAACCTATCACAAAGGAAGAGATGTTCTCAGAAGGTCAATCCTGAAACCATCCATAAAAACCAAAGGAGTTACATTGGCAGAAAGTCCTAGATTATATTACAGAAGCATGATACAAAGAGCTCTAAGTGTAGAATATAGCTGTTACAACAGTTCAGAATAAAGTTTAATCAGACGTTTTCAACTTTACATTTAACTATTTAAGTCAGTTAATAAGTTTCCTCTTTTCTCTTATAACCTCATAGCTAGCTGTCCCATCTGAAATCAGTATGCTGCGAGGTAGTTACAAGCTCCATCACCTTTAATCCTTTTTTTTTTGCAATGTGTTACATGAATGAATGAATTGAGCACATTTTCGTATTATTTTCTCCCCTCTCTCCTCAGTTTCTTCAATTCTGTTTTCAATTTCATTTTTTCTCTTGTATTTTATTTGATCTTTCAGCTCGCACCAGCATCCTTCTGGAGCTTCTGAATATCAACCAGGGCGGACAACTAGGAATTCAAAGGAATTGATGGAATGACAAGGCTTAAATCAGAATTTCAAGCTTTTGTGAACGAGAGCGACAAAAGGTTCAAGCTGCTGTGAACTGCTCACTCTCATTTTGTTGCCAGTCCTCTCTTTCTACTGTGCTGGTTAAGGACAATTTGGAATCAATCGGAAGAAAGAAGAGAGTTATTGCAGGACGGAGACTATGCTTATTTGGATAGACGCTAATGGGCTTGCTGAAAACTCTCATCCTGCTCTGATAATAGTTATTCAAGGAACTCTGATGACATATAAGCAACAATCCTTGTGGGTGGAAATACAAGGCCGATTCTCTACGACCAACTCCAAAGATCACACCTAGATATAGAAGATGGTCTTCCCACTGCTTCAAAATGTGCAAAAGGGCGAGAGAACAAGGAAATATAACCTACTTACCACTTTCAGCTTTTTCCTTACGAAGGAGCTCTTGTGGATCAAGGTACGACTTATTCAAGGTTAAGAAGTAATCTCCTTTATAGACAGTCTCTCATTTGCTCTTTGCGGATGACACCCTGGTTTTCTGTGATGCCGATATGGATCAGTTGACCTACATGAAGCAGGTCTTGCAGTGGTTTAAGATAGTATCACGACTCAAAATCAACCTCGGCAAGTGAGAGATTTTCCCGATGGGTGAGGTTGCTAACATTGATGCTTTATCTTATGTTCTCAGATGTAAGGTGGGTTCCCTTCCCATTACTTACCTGGGTCTCTCATTGGGCGCTTCGCATAAGGATACTACGATTTGGAATCCAGTGCTTGAAAGGGTTGAAAAAAGATTAGCAGGCTGGCAGAAACGGTACTTGTCAAAAGGCGGTAAGGAAATGCTTATTAAAAGCACTTTATCGAGTATGCCCACCTATTACTTGTCCCTGTTGCAAGCTCATGTGAGCATCACAGAAAAACTGGAGCGGCTTCAAAGGAATTTTCTTTCGAATGCGGCGGATGGAACTAGAAAGTTTCATCTAGTGAATTGGCAGACAGTCACTTCCCCAAAGAAGTGGGGTAGACTTGGAGTAAAAGATCTTAGGGTATTCAACAAAACTTTGTTGGGGAAGTGGTGGTGGAGATTCGGGGTAGAAGAGCATGCTCTATGGAGGGAGGTCATAGTAGAAAAGTACGATTCCACTGGAGGGGGTTGGAGGACCAAGGCAATCACAGCACCTTTCGGGTGTCGCATGTGGAGGAACATCATGAAGAATTGGAAAGCCTTCAGGGGCAACATCACTTACAGGGTGGGAGATGGAAGGAGAATCAGCTTTTGGAATCATAGGTGGTGTGGAGAGGATACTCTGAATGTCTCCTTCCCCACGTCTTCAGAGTTCCAAACCAGAAGGAATTGATGGTCCAACAGATTCGTAAGGAGCATGAAGGGGGGTTAGTATGAGACCTCTCATTTAGAAGGAACATGCAAGATTGGGAGATTGCGGAGCTCCAAGATTTGTTGACACTGCTATATAGGCAAGACAGGCCCCAGCCATCTTGTGATTCTTGGAGAAGGGGTTTGCGTGGCGATGGTTTGTTCACCGTAAAGTCCTTTTACCAGAGTATGTTGGTGAGAAAGGAGGCCACTTTTCTATACTGCTCAATCTGGATTCCTAAGGCGCCCACGAAGGTGTGCTTTTTTGCATGGCTAGCGGCGAGGAAAGTGATTTTGACTGCTGAAAATCTGCGAAAGAGAGGAATTACACTTGTTAGTTGGTGCTAGGGGACCTGGAAACAGCCTTCCTACCCTTCGGGGTAGGGGTAAGGTCTGCGTACATATTACCCTCCCCAGACCCCACTTGTGGGATTATACTGGGTCGTTGTTGTTGTTGTTGTTGTAGTTGGTGCTAGGGGAAGAAGTTGATCATCTTTTGTTGCATTGTCCTGTGTCCTCGTCTTTGTAGAGGGTAATCCTGAATCTTTTTGGTGTTCAATGGGTGATGTCAAGCACTGTAAAGGAAATGTTATACAGCTGGGCCGGTTTACGTAGAAGAAGAAAGCAAAAAGCGTGGAAGTTCACCCTGTTAGCTCTCATGTGGATAGTTTTGGGGGAGAGAAATAGGAGAGCTTTTGAGGGGGATTGAGTCTCCTTTTTCACATCTTAAGAATAGTCTTTCATCTTTGATCGCTTTTCGGTGCACTCATATAGCCCCTACTTGTATAGAAGATTGGGCGTCTTTTGTAGAGAATCATGTTCTGATGTAAATTCTCTACTTTTTGGTATACTTCCTGTATACGGGAGTTCTCTCCCTTTTGATTAATATAATTTACCTTATCAAAAAAAAAAGACAGTAAATACTTAATGGATAAGTATGATGCTCATTAGGAATATGATATCACTTGTTTCTCAAATGATGATGTTTAGGAATAAAAATTAGAAATTTAGTATAAGAAGATCGGTCCCATGCTGAATTAGAAATTTGCAGCAAATATATGCAATCCTCGCTAAAAGTCGTGCCTTAATTGTGCCTTTGCAATAAAACCCCAACAAACACTTGTTGCTTTTCTAAGTTGATTCACTTTTGATAACACTAGCTATAAAGGGGATGAAAGTCTCAAGAATCTGATTAAAGCATCACGTGAGGGAGCTATACCTGAGACCTCCTTCCAGAATAGGTTAGTTTGGTACGACAGTAAGTTATTCAACACATGATTCATTAGAAGGGATCCATGTCTCCTAGCCATTCATAAGAGACAGAGCAGCATTTATTGGCCTTCATTATTCGAGGACGGCAGAAAGCAGGTTATAAGTGTGTGATACTTGCCAAAAGTGTAAAGTAGAGAATGTAGCATATCTATGTTACTACAAAACCCTGCCTATTCTTGAGAGGGCACTTGAATATGCAGTTATGAATTTTATAATGGGGCGGCCAAGTAAGAGGGTAAGATCATCTCTGTGATTGTAGATTGTTATAGCAATATATGTTCATATTTTCTCATTGACATACTCTTCTCCGTTGTCCAAGTGGCTAGAATATTCTCAGATAATAAACAGCATGGACTACTTACAAGCAGATTCTCTACCAACGAGATCTTCTAAAACCTTTTTTCAGATGGAACTTTTTTCAGGAATACAGGTCAGATTACAACTTAGCTTAGTCAACCCTCCACAAATAGATGGAAAGCCCAAGCAACTCAACGGCTTCCTAAAGACCTACTGAGATGTGTGAATAGACACAAATCCAGTTGGATCATGGATGTCCTACACATAATATTTGTAGAATAAGAAATAACCCCTCAGCTCCGGGGATGACACCATTACAGACAATTACAAGCTTTACAGATATAGTAGGCAATTGACTGCCAAGTCCTACCGACCGACCTCACTAAAACCCAAAATGGAATGAAACTTCAAGCTGACCAAAGGAGTTCCTAAGGAAGAAGCTGAAGTGGGTGATTGACAACCATGGCTATTAGAAGGACCCTTAAGCTATACCAAAGTACTACTGGCGAAAAACGAGGGACATATGGTCTTTCACGCGTCAAAAATTAAAAAAGAGATTGAAGATCACATTGTTGCTTCAGTCGAGCTACTAGTGAGCACTTCCTTTTTAATAAGGGAGCTAACACTGTGCACTCGTAATGGACAACCATAAGTGAAACCCATAGACGTACTCAATCGAGATTGGTCACCAAGGAATATGCTGCAACAATGAAGTTTTGGTTACAAGAGATAGCTAAATTGGAGGATTTCAACTTTTTATTCCCCCATTCCCGGATTTCAAACCTTTCGGACAAGGTATAACCGAAGGAGGAGGGAAAGCAAAATGAAGGATCCAACGAAGAGCTTGAAGGATAGTACGTACCCATTGTGGCAGTTAAATGAAGCTTAATTTCCGAACTTCCAAATTTTGTCGTTTAGTCCCATTTAAAATTTTCCTTTTATTTTATTACCTCATTGCAAGTTGTCCCATGGAATCAGTGCGGCCCAAAGTTTAGGGCTTTGGTTTAACAGCACCTGGGAGTTTGGTTTAATAATACTGCAAAATATATGATAGGCGCATGTCGCGAGTTCGGATCTTGTTTAGTGAACCAAGACTAGTTTTTATGTGGAGAGGCGTAGAAGGGCAAGCCTATTTTTCACCAACTTTCAAGAAAGAAACTCCATAAAAAGAAGGCACTGGTTCTAAGAAGAATAGCGAGACTAATTGGTCCAGCAGTCTCATACATTCATCAAAGTCCTCCTAAGAATTTAACGGCGATGGCCTATTATCATTGTTTCCTGGTGACCTACGTTGACTATGGTGCGGTATCCGATACAGATGCAGATCTAAAAGTGGAATTCTCCATCACATAAATTTTAGGATTCGGGGATATAATTAGAGTGCGGATATGGGTGTTGTGATACAACCAATAAATGTATTTTACAACATATAAAGTATATATTTCGACTAATTAAGGTTATAGAATTAAAACTAACAAAATGTAATTCTTTATACATACTTAGGGGTCATTTGGTTCAAGGGATTAGGTAGGTTATTTCGATATAAATTTTGAGATTAAATTTATCCCAAGCTTAGTAGGAGGTATAGTTAAAATAAGTATTTTTTTTATACCAAAATCTCGATATAACTTATCCCATATAGAGGTGATAAATTACCTAGGTTTAAATCCTGGTTATAATCTAGATATCTGGTTTTGGAGGACCAAGGCAATCACAACACCTTTCGGATGTGGCATGTGGAGCAGCATCAGGAAGAATTGGGAATCCTTCAGTGGCAACATCTCTTACAGGGTGGGAGGGGGGAGGAGAATCAGCTTTTGGAATCATAGGTGGTGTGGAAAGGATACTCCGAGGGTCTCGTTCCCCCACGTCTTCAGAGTTTCAAACCAGAAGGAATTGATGGTCCAACAGATTCGTAAGGAGCATGAAGGGGGTAGTATGGGACCTCTCATTTAGAAGGAACATGCAAAATTAGGAGATTGCAGAGCTCCAAGATTTATTGACACTGCTATATGGGCAAGACAGGCCTCAGCTATCTTGTGATTCTTGGAGATGGGATTTGTGCGGCGATGGTCTGGTCACCGTAAAGTCCTTTTACCATAGTATGTTGGTGAGAGAGGATGCCTCTTTTCCATACTCCTCAATCTAGATTCCTAAGGCGCCCACGAAGGTGTGCTTTTTTGCATGGCTAAGCGGCGAGGGGAGTGATTTTGACTGCTGAGAATCTGCGAAAGAGGGAAATTACACTTGTTAGTTGGTGCTATATGTGTAAAAGCTCAGGGGAAGAAGTTGATCATCTTTTGTTGCATTGCCCTGTATCCTCGGCTTTGTGGAGGGCGATCCTAAACCTTTTTGGTGTTCAATGGGTGATGCCAAGTAGTGTAAAGGAAATGCTATATAGCTGGGCCGGTTTCCGTAGAAGAAGAAAGCAAAAGGCGTGGAAGTTCGCCACGTTAGCTCTCATGTGGATAGTTTGGGGGAGAGAAATAGGAGAGTTTTTGAGGGGATTGAGTCTCTTTTTTCACATCTTAAGAATAGTCTTTGTATCTTTGATCGCTTTTTGATGTACTCATATAGCCCCTATTTGTATAGAAGATTGGGCGTCTTTTGTAGAGAATCATGTTCTGATGTACATTCTCTACTTTTTGGTATACTTCTTGTATACGGGAGTTCTCTCTTTGATTAATACAATTTACCTTATCAAAAAAAAAAATATCCTGGTTTTGAACTAGACGATCCGCTAATATTTTATTCATAAGATATCTCAAGTAATAGGAAAGCATTCTCAAACTTTATAACTACATACACATATGTGTGTGTGTGTCTGTATAGGGTCTTGCTAACATACCACATGAAGGTAGTATGTTAGCTTTGTACCCATTTTTTAAATCCCCAAAATACTCACGCCAGCACATTAAAAACAACATAATGAGATGTGTTACATTCCCCAAATCAGGCGACTAGCCAAGTACGCATTTGTAATCTCTGGACGGCGAATCAATTTTCTTTATTCTACCATTTCTACTCAGGGGAGCGCCTAGTGTCCACCGCCACTCTCTATTTTTCACAACCACCTTTCTCCTTCCCGCCATAACAAAGAGTGGAGAGTGGATGTTTACGGGGAGAAAAAGAGAGAGTTGGTATGAAATTTCCTCACCATAGAACCAACAGAAATTGGATGTCATCTATTTCTAAATTGTCGGCTAGAATCTCATGCTAAAATGATCTAAACTGATCATTATCTCCAAAAATCCCGTGCTACATTGTCGGCTAGAATGTTGTTTAAAAAATTTATTGTGTTTGATTCAAGCTTTATCAGTTTTCTCTTTATTCCTTTGGTTCGCCATGGATGATGGGAAGGGAGAGAAGAATAAAAAGGTGGGTTTAACTTTTGGTGAAAAGATAAAATAGTCCACCCATCTAATTTCCTTAAATGCCCTCAAATACGATATGGGCACACCCATGTCGTGTCGACACCGGTGCGGCAGTAAATTTGAAGAGTTCGAGCAACATAGCTGGCAACCCCCCATTCAAGGTCAAGGTTGTTATTTACAGGGTCATGCCTAGCCTTGATCTAGAAGGAGATAGGATGGAGAGAAGAGCTCGGGTCCTCGAGATCTCACATACCGCACATTCGTTGGAGAAACTTCATGTCCTTCTCTCGAGATCCTATCTACATAGGAATCTTATTCTCATGTCCTTCTCTCGAGATCCTATCTACATAGGAATCTTATTCTCATGTCCTTCTCTCGAGATCCTATCTACATAGAAATCTTACTCTCATGTCCTTCTCTCGAGATCCTGTCTACATTGAAATCTTACTCTCTTCCACACATTACCGATGGATGTTGCCACAGCCACTATCACTTTGGGTGTGATTTGAGCATATGTCTTTTTACTTTTTCTAAATCTTTCTTTATTCTCTTGGTTACTTCTGCTATGTTTTCAAATATCACTCTATCTTTTATATTATGATTGATCTTTCAGCTGTAGTTACAAAGTTTTACATATATGGTAAACACCGCAGAAAACTCAGAGAGGCAAGCTTTTCCCATTAATTTCATGGTAAATGAAACCTAACTCGTTCATGGGAGGAACTTTATCATGTAAAATTAACATAATAGATATTCCAAAAATTGAGTAGATACCTAATCGATCTACAGAACAAGCTAATTACAGAGTGCTCACTAATTTTACAGCTTCAATTTGAACGAACTTGTTATTCCACGAAAAAGGAATCCAACAGGACAATTAGGAGTAGTTATCAAGACTCACTCGCTAATATCAATTACCTTTTGCTTAATCACCAGTTGATCCCCAGAGGCAAAGCCCAATTCCACCAAGATTATATGATTCGATGAAATAAACCAAAATCAAACAGGAAACCCTAGAATTGTTAACCTAAGCCCTAATTTGATCTCTAGCACATGCAAGAAGAATGAAATTACGCGAGGAGTTGAATTTTTACGAACCTTAGAATGAAAATTGAGCAAATTATAGGGCAAGCCGCTGCGGATCACAAGCGAAGCTGAAAGCACGAAGCACCAGCTCTTCTTCAATACTAGAAAGCAGATAACTTTTTTTTTTTCTTTTCCTTTTTTCTTTTTCTCTCGCTCTTTTTTTTCTGTTAAGAGTGAGAAACGTGGGCAAAGTACACAAGCGGGTTTGTCGTACCGTTAACGCCTTTAAATAGACGAGAATTGTTGACTTTCCTACCGACTTAAGTCAAATCTCAACCGTTGAATCTTGCGTGCGGCTAATCCAACGGATGATATCATCTATAGGGCTTCTGTTCATATCTTGATCTGACGGGTGAAAACCACCTCAGCTTAGGGTGTGTTTGGTACGGAAAAAAATATTTTTCAATTTTATACTCCAGTCTCCAGTAGAGCTTTCCTTCGAAAGACGCAGAAACTCAACATATGTGGGTTCAATTAAACATATGTGGGTTCAATTAACTTGAGTGCATAAGCATAGCAATAGTAGTTACGTTATACCTTACACGTAGGGTTGGGCGTTCGGTATTTCGGTTCGGTATTTAAGAATTTCGGTTCGGTTTATCAATTGGATATACCAAATACTGTACCATAATATTTCGGTACGGTTCGATATTTCTTATTTTGGTTCAGTACGGTTTCGGTTTAAACCAAATCTTCACTGTCTCCCCCTCCATTAACTAGCAAAATCTGGCGTAATGTCTTCAATTACTCTAATATTAAGGATAGAAACTCCAAACTAATCAACGATTAGATGATATGATTTATAGTTGTTTGTCTTCCAATGACTAGTTCATTTTGTACTAAGCCCATCAAATGACAATGTTACAGCAGATGAACATAAATTTTCAAATGTACTTGAGGCTGATAAATACTCATAAACAAGAAAAGAATGATGACATTTTCTTAACATTATTTCAACAGATAGATGGTCCTTCCCTATTTCTTTTTCCTTTCCGAATGGGCCTTGTTCCTGTTTCTGGCCCATCACAGTTTGCAGTTTAGCACAATTATCTTCTGCTTCATAGTCCATTGCTCACTGAGATGCTGTAGCAGAGTTGAGTAGAGTAACCAATTAGAACTAATAATGACAGGGACACCGAAATATTGATCTCACCTCATTAATCTATTTCGGTATTTCGGTATACCGAAATATCAATAATCCAATATCGTATACTGTACCGAATTACCGAAATACCGAAATTTCTGTACCGAAATAAACCGAAGTACCGAAATACCAAATTAATTCGGTTCGGTTCGGAATTCGGTTTTTCGGATTTTATGTCCACCCCTACTTAACTTGTATGCATATAATTTACTAAGTAAAACTTATTTGTTTTTATTTTCAATTAAACGCACGAATTGTATTAAAAAGGACACTACAATTTACCGTGTTTACTAATTTTATTTATTATTATGGATGGTTATGTGTAGTTATTTAGCTTATCTTAACTAGCAAGCGTATAAATTAAGGTAAAAATATTCATATGTTAGAATAGAATTATACTTAGAGTGAATGTCTGTCTTTTAGAGAATTTGTTTGTCACGATCCAAATCTACCATGTCATGATGGCACCTATCGTGGAACTAGGCAAGCCGACTCTTTTACCAAAACAACCCGATATTTCAATTCAAAGATTACCTCAAGCTATATAATTAATAAAACTTCATAAGAAATCTGAATAACAAAGTGCGGAAAGAAAAGTCTGACATCGGGGTGTCACTAGTCATGAGCATCTACTAAAAACTGTCCGATAATACTAAGACTAATACAGTCTGGAAAACAACTAAAAACATCTATAGGGAGATAGGAGGGAGAAGAGCAGGACTGCGATCACCATGCAGCTACCTTGCTAACTCCAACAGATCCGCGACGGATGAAATCAAAACTCGCTAGCACGTCCAGCTATCCTGGATCTGCATACAAGGTGCAGGGAGTAAGGTGAGTACGCCAACTTAGTAAGTAATAAAAGTAAATAAAGACTGAGCAGTAGTGATGACCAGCAAAACACATAAAGTCCACATCATGTAACCTCATTAAATACAACATGCTTTCAATTCAGCGTGTGAGTCAAATTATCTCATTAAAAATCCAATTTTCATTAAAAATTATTTGAAGATATTTTTCAACGGTTTCAACAGAGACCCAATGCAAAAGAAAGTGAAAGTGATGAAAATCATAAATAGTCTCTTGGGAAAAACATCACTCATAGCAGCCCCTCGGGCAGCCTCACAGTCACTCGTATATAGCCCCTCGGGCATATCTCATATCACTCATTTAAGGTACTTGCGCTCACTATGGGTGTGCAGACTCCGGATGGGCTCCTACAGCCCAAGCGCTATATCAAGCCACCTCGTGGCATAAATCAATCAAACCCTCGACCTCACATAATCATGAATTAGTAACAACATACTGCGGCGCGTAACCCGATCACATAATATCCTTATAAAATAGGCCCTCGGCCTCACTCAGTCATAGACCTCTCAAGACACTCAGGCTATCAGTAAGAACATGGTGCTCAGCCCAAAATAACGTTTTATATGCATCAAAAGGGGTAATAAAGACTGAGTTATGAAATTAGTAAACATAGCATGAGTGAGTATGTATTTTCAATCAAAACAGTGAGAGGATAATAAGAAAAAGGCTCTCAATGGTCCAAATAGCTCCGGCACAAGGCCCAATTATGACATTCAGCCCAATTTATAGAAATTCTTTCCAAAACACATAAGTATCATATAGTTTCAGTCAAATACGCAACTTTATAGTTGTTGCGGGATAGACCAAGTCACAATCTCCAACGGTGCACGCCCACACGCCTGTCACCTAGCATGTGTGTCATCTCAAAGTAGTAAAACGAAGTAAAATTCGGGGTTTCATACCCTCAGGACTAGATTTACAATCATTACTTACCTCAAACCGGTTAAATTCATAATCCGCGATGCTCTTGCCTCTCGAACCGGCCTCCAAATGCCTTGAATCTAGCCACAAACAATTCGATACAATCAACACGAGCTAAAGGAATCAATCACATAAGAAAATGCTAAGCTTTATGTCAAAAGTCAAAAAGTCAATTCAAAGTTGGGCCCCAGGCCCATGTTTCGAAATCCGACCAAAGTCACAAAATCCGATAACCCATTCGATTATGAGACTAACCATACTAGTTTCACCCAATTCCGACTTCGAATCAACTTTCAAATCCCAAAAGTTCATTTTATGAAACTCCACAATTTTTTCCCAAATTTCATCCCAAATTACTAATCAAATGACGAAATCAATGGTATATTCATGATTATTAGCCAAAACCGAGTTAGAATTACTTACCCCACTGATTTCCTTGAAACACTCCCAAAAATTCGCCTCAAACAGAGCTCTCAAAGTCCAAGATGTGAAATAAAACCCTAAACCTCGCTTATATAGTGCCCTCTAAACTTCCATTCCGTGGTCCACGTATTTCTCACCGCGGCTGCATACACCTCACCGCGGTCCACGTTAAATCCACCGCGACCGCATACCTGACGCCTTTCCTTTTCGGGGTCCGCGAACTTCCCACCGCGGCCGCATTTCTTCTACCACAGTCTATGAAATCCACTCCGCGGCCGCACCTCCAAGATCCGAGACCTGCAACTTTCCAACACCAAATATTAGATATTTCCAACTTCTAGAGCCAAATAGTGATCTGATAACCACCCGAAACTCGCCCAAGGCCCTCGGGACCTTGACCAAGCATACCAAAACATCCCATAACATCAATCGAACTTAGTCGAACCTTCGAAACCCTCAAAAAACATCAAAACACCATACTACACTTGGATTCAAGCCTAAGAACTTCTACATTTTCAAATTCCACAAACGATGCTGGAACCTACCCAATTACCTCTGAATGAACTGAAATTTTGCACACAAGACATAAATGATACTACAAACCTACTCCAACTTCCGGAATTCCATTCCGGCCCCGATATCAAATTCTTCCACTATCGACCAAAATCGCTAAATTACCAACTTTTGCCAATTCAAGCCTAATTCTACCACGGACCTCCAAATCACATTCTGGATGTGCTCCTGAGTCCAAAATCACCTAATAGAGCTAACGGAACCATCAGAAATCCCATCCGAGATCGTTTATGCATAAGTCAACATCCGATTGACTTTTCTAACTTAAGCTTCTAAATAGGAGGCTAAGTGCCTCATTCCACTCCAAAGTCACTCCAGACCCGAATCAACCAACACGATATAATAAAACACAACTGAAGAACACAAAAGAAAGTAGGAATGAGGGAAATATGGCTATAACTCATGAAACGACCGATTGGGTCGTTACATTGTTACTTTGTGGCTAAGTCATTATTCCCCCTATAAATAGAGAGGTTTTATCCCATTGTAAATCATCTAAAATTCATTAAGAATTACCTCTATCGTTTCCTTGCAATATTCAATAAGAATTACCTCTCGTATCAAAGTTCTATTGTAAAGCTATTTCTCTCATTTAAGATGTGTAAGGCAGATGTTACTATAATTTCTGGTAGTAGTAATCTAATTGAAGGCTCTGGAAGAGCTACTATAATTTTGTCTAAGGGAACAATACTTATCATATATAATGCAATGTTCACCTCTAAGTCCAAGAGGAACTTGTTGAGTTTTAAAAATATCCGCCGAAATGGATATCATATTGAGACAATAGCCGGGAATAATCTTGAATATCTGATCATTACTAAAAATGTCTCTGGCCAGAGGAGGGTTATTGAGAAGTTCTCATCCTTATCTTATGGCATGTATTGGACAAAAATTAGTGCAATTGAGGTGCATTCTATCGTAAAGCAAAAGGTTACTGATTCCAATACTTTTGTACTTTGGCGTGATCGATTGAGACATCCTGGATCAATTATGATGAGATGGATTATAGAAAACTCAAATGGGCATACGTTAAAGAATTTAAAGATTCTTTTAAATAATGAATTCTCTTGCACTTCTTGTTATCAAGGCAATTTATTATTAGACCATCACCAACAAAGGTTGAGTTTGAGTCCTCTGCGTTTCTGAAACGTATACAAGGGGACATTTGTGGACCTATTCACCCATCTAGTGGGTCGTTTAGATATTTTATGATCTTAATAGATGCATTTTCTACAAAGTCTCATGTGTGCCTATTGTCATCTCGCAACCTGGCGTAT